AAAATGTTTCCATAAACCTACAAAGCAGAGATTTTGAAATGCGCCAAAGAGGTAATTCCTATTGGGATAATAAAATTATTTCTGCTGGAAGAAAAGCACAGTTTGTAATAAAGGTCATATAGGGCTTCTCTTCAAAATAATTATATAGAGAAACATTTAAAAGTCACTACTTACTTGAGAAATAATTGAGATTTTGCTTCCATCAACTCAACACCATCTCCTTCTTCAGGCTGGAGTGGAAGCCCAGCAAGAAGAGAGACCACTGCTTCCATACTTGCCTGGTCCAAATCTCTGAAAAAGAAAATTTAATAAATATAAGTCACTTTTACTTATAGCTCTACCTGCAATCAAATGCTGTTACAGTGAAGAGTGCCCCTTACCTTGTCAAGCATTTCACATCCTCATCTGTTGCTTGATTAGAAGTTCCCATTACCCAGTCTGTCAAATATTCCACCATTTTGTTCCTGTTACACATAAACAGATTGTTTAAGCTTTGTTGGGGTCTTTCTACCAGTCTGCATCACACAGTAAATTGTTACAAGTGTTCAGCATCACCACAAACTAAGTAATACTTAGATGCAGCACCAGGCTCATAATCATTCTGAAGAGAGACAAGGGAACTCTCCCTGTACCAGGAATACCACTGTGCCAGGGCTTCGGGTTCTTTTTTAACCACCCAACCAGAGAAAACTACACTTGCCCGCAGTACTCTACCCTATCAGTTAGGTAATGCCATCCTTACCTAAATTTCATTTCTTGACAAAATGAAAGGTCATCTCTCCTCTCCATCATTACTTCTACCAACTGACAGAGCTTTGTTTTTATTTGAATGGCATGTACCAGATTTCCAAGCACACGCACATACCTGAAGAAAAAAGCAAAAAAGATTCATTAAATACTTCATGCTACTTCACTTCCTCTGCTCCAAGTAAACCCCTGCATCAGTAGAAAATTTCTTCTGGCCAAAACTTTCTATCAGTGTAATAGTGAACCAAAATCTGACCTTCAGCTGGTTTTTAACCACTAACATCAATGTACAGAAAAGTAACCAGGAATGCCTATGGCAGTAGGGCCAAGCTATGGAATGGTCAGCTCTAAAAAACAAAACAGCCACTCTTCAGCAATGCACTTTATGCTACACACCTTCCACAATTACTGCAGCTGTCAGAACTATAAGGAGGATCAGAAAATCAGCTGCTGCTTCTCCACGGACACAAGCAAAAAGATATAAACTAGAAGGCTCCAACTCACTTCTTAAACATAATGCCTGTGTATAAGAAGGTCAAGAGGGCTCCTTACCTAACCAGATTCAGCATCATTGTCTCAATGCTTGCTTGGCCAAGGTGTTCTGAGCTCCCTTCTGTGTGATTGTCAAGCAAATTCTTCATTATAGCAATGGTTTGCTCTACAAATTGTGTGTTGGTGTCAGTTAACAAGACCTGCAGGATGACAATTTCTGGTTAATTTTTGACACATAAAACCAAAGAAAGAGTATTTGCCAAATATACTGCAACATTTCAAAAATCCCATGGACAAGCATTTTTCTAGTTACCACCAAGCCAACTGAATTCCAATACATGTCACAATTCAATATGTGAACACTGCCAGCCATAAGGATTCCACAAACAATCTCACAGATTCTGCACTCAAAAGTTCACTATTCAAGAATGTTAAATACAGCCCGGAATCACAACCACAATAATCATTAACATGTGCTGTGATGATCACTCTGCTCACAGGGGGTGTGCACAGAACACAAACAGGGATCCATTTCAGTCACCCGGGGGAAAGACGGGACTGACACAAATGTGAACAATACCACACAACTGTGAATCACCTGTCCTTGGGAATCAAAGAACTTGCTGATGGTGTTCTTCAGTTTGTTGAAGAGCATCGGGTAGAGCGCTGGACTGAGCTCCAGCCCCACCAGGTCTTTGATGTTGGTGCGGATCTGCAGCCCCACCTTCTCGTGGTTGCAGACCATGAGGGTGAGCAGGCGGTCGATGAATTTGCTGACCGGGGTCTCCACGCTGCCCTCGGTGGAGACCATGGAGATCATGGAGCCCTTGCGCTCGTTGAGGGGGCCCATGGGGGGGCTGTAGGTGGCCAGCCCCGCGCTGCTGCGGTGCTGCAGGCACACCCCGCCCAGGGCACACAGGAACCCCGTCATGTTGATCCACTCCTGCAGCGACTCCGTGTCCGACAGGTCGATGGAGCCGCCGCCGCTGACGTGCGACATGCGCCGCTTCACGATCGTCTTGTGCAGGCTCTCGGTCACCTGCACACAGAGGTCGTTGGCTGAGTTAAAACTCAAATGCCTTAGAATATATAAGCCTAAAGACTTGGTATGAATTTCTAAATGTTGAACCGATGGAAAAATTCATAGTCACCTGCCCGTCTTCCATTTTGGTCTTTGGATAGTTAAGGATTAGTTTTGTAGCTTGTTCCCATTTTGCATGTGTATCCTCCCAGGCCTGAAAGAAAATAAGATATATCAAGACTTAACTTCAAAACTACTTGTAACAACAATATTTCTGTATTTGTTTTTCTAATGTGCACACAGAGCACATGAGTTCACCTCTGTGTTGCCTGCAGTGGGGTGTTCAATGCGCCTCAATAACGCCATCACTCTCTTCTGAAGAGCTGCTCTCCCTGCAAAGGGCACAGAACACTGAACTAAGTTTTTGAAAATCTACCTACATCACATTTGTGATCTTTGAAAATAATTATTGAATTAAGAGGAACATATTCCCCTTAAAGTCTTTAGAAAGGTAGCTTCTTGTTACACAATTGTAAAATCCTCCTGAGCTCAGTCACCCAAATTCCTTACACTTTCTAGCAATTCTAATAACTAAGACATTCCAGGAAAAGCCAGAGCAGCATGAAATCAAGAACTTCAACTTGTTTAAAGAACTCAAGCACAAGTAACAGCCTTTTGTTCAGGTACAAAATTACTTTAACTGACTCATGACTCTCACCTGTTGACATCATGTTGCTCACAGATGCAAACTCCATGAAAGTGTTGTAGTTTGGCAAAAAATTATGCACTGAGACCTCATCTACTCCACATCTGATGTCGGCCTCCTCACAGAGGTGACGGAAGCAGGACATGGCCACCAGGACTGCCTCGATATCGGGGCTCCACAGGAACATGTATAAGGCCACTTCCAGCTTGGTCTGGGCTTGGCGGCAGATCGGGGTTCCGCTGCAGCCGGCAGTGCTCTCCTGGCAAACACACAATTCCCAGTGGGGAACACTGCTTGTGAACATTCAGCCCTGGCCACACTGCGTTTGAAACTGCTTTTGTTCTAGTGGGAATAAGCCACCCTAAAAAGGATCAGAGCTCATATATGCTGCCACAATGCTGTTTGCAATTGTAATCAAAAAATATGCACCAACAGTTAAACTGAAAAAATGTTACTTTGTAAAGTCTGAAACATCATTGTTAAACCAGCACATTAACTCTAAAGGTAATTTAATTTCTACTTGCCCACAGGGTTTTTCTCAAATGTTAAAATTAACTATAAACATGTATTACTTACTATGGAAGAATTCCCCTTTGCTTTCCTCAGGGTAGCCCCTGGTGCACAGCGCATCATTTCCTCATGGTCAAGAGAAATTTGACTAGTCCCACTTCCAGAGACATCATAAAGGAAAAGGAAGTGGCAGGAACTCCTATCTGATTGCTATAAAGAGAGGGGAGGAAAAGAATATATCAATTGATACTTTAAAAGAGTAAAAAGCATAGATCTGAGGCAGGTAAAAAGCTCTTGGACATTTACACAGTACTTTTTCCACTGCTGCTCTCAGGGTGTTATCAAGTTACTTGTGTTAATGGTATCCTAGATTGATATTTCCCCAAAAGAAATACATTATTTGATACTTTAGAATATCAGAAAGAAGCAAGTCAGAATTCTGGGACTCAGAAGAATCTGAGATGCAAAAGGAAACTTCCTCCATCCATAAGCATGTGTATTTTACCATTAACCACCTTCCCTTTCTCTCACCTTGGGGACTATTTCCCTGTATTAGGCAAAGAGGCACAAGGCACATATTTCTGTGAAACATTCCTTTTCTAGCCAAGTACAGCAACCTGCACAGCCAAAGAGGAAAAAAAACATCCCAAACCCCACTTTAGTTACCCATTCTAATCAAGGTGCCTCACAAAGCAGAGAGGAAATCAGAGAACAGAACATGTAGGAGTAGCTACTAAATCTTTTCCAATCAAAAATAACCTGGTAAATAAAGGGACACCAACAGGGAACAATTCATGTTAATGATCCTAACAGGGAGATGGTAATATTCACTTACTTTGTTTTTTAGCAGAAATTTATTCCTACAGATGAGAATCTCTCGCAGCCACTTGAGGATTTCTGTACTGCTGAGCATCTGATGACTTGTGAGCTTCTTGCAGATATAAAAAAGCATTTGTGAACTGCAGCAAAATGAAATTCAGCATCAGCCTTCTGATGGAACACCAACACTTCTGAAGGTATTACACTACGTTTCACATAGAAATAGGCACTTAGCATGAACACCCTGTGCAAACACTACCCTGGGCTTCCAGCAGTACAACAGAGAGGTGAGAGTGTGCATGGACAGGCCAAGCTCCCCTGGGACCCTTCCCAGCGCCCGCGGCCTGGAGCGGCTCAAGCCCCGCGGGCAGCCCGGCCTGGAGCTCCAGCTCTGCCCGGGACAGAGACAGCACAGACAGGGCAGCACGAGTTACCTACACTGCTCTGACAACGTGTCAACTCTGCTCTGGAAGGAACACATCTAGGGATGTTCCTTCTTCACATCCCGTCAGGCCTCACACTCTCTGTTAAAACTGCCAAAGGGTCCAAATTAGTGTCAAGTGTGACGGGTTTTCCCCCCGCCCGAAGAGACCGTGAACTCCCTGCTGTTGCAAAGCTTTCCCAAAATACTCACAGCTATTTCAAAAGAGAAGACAAATCAAAACAGCTATTTCTCTCATTTATATAAGTGATTTACATACCTGATCTCCCAGAATGTTTCTATAGGAGCATCAGGATTCCACAAGTCAATGCTATCCAACTGGTGCAGAACCAGCAAGGCCTAAAGCCAAAGAGAGTTTCACTTAAATACAGAACTTTACAGAGTACCTGAGCACAGGCAGACAAACAGTCATATTCATAACTGCTTTAAGAACAACAAAAGATATAAAAAGCATTTTCCATAGAACAGCAGGAGTTCGTTGCTGGTCAGTGCCCACAGCATTTCACTTCAGTCATTACTCCACGCTCACACTGCAGACGCAGAGGTTTTCCCGGCTATCTCTGTCCCCAGCCATGCTGTACACACACACACAGACTCTGTTTCTGCAGGAGAGGCCCTGGCAGCAGCAGTGCCCATGCAGGGAGCCCAGCAGGGCTGTGCCCTCACCTCCATGGCCTCCTGGGCGATGTCGGGCATGCTGGACTGCGGCACCAGCTGCACCAGCCCCGTGATCAGCTCGGCCGTGCTGCCCTGCGAGTCGGGGCCCTGCTTCCTGGGGTTCTGTGAGGAAACACAACACAGGCTCAGCTGCAAAGCTTCCCTGCTTGACCACACTGCTGACAGCTCCTGCAGCACTCCTGCTGCTGAACTAGGGGCATCTGGGGATCCTTCTGAGAATCTGTTATTTTATTCTTAATCCATAACACGCCTTGCATATCATGTCTCTGACAGAACTGGAATATTTTTATATTAAACCATCACAGGCCTGAGAAAATGGAAGATCTAAGACAGTACTCATTGAAATGATGACTAATTTCCAACCCCCTTATTTTAATTTTCTTCTATTCCCCTCTCCTTCCCCCACCTTCCCCTTCAGAGTCACAGAACTTCATGCTCCCCCTCATTGTGTTGCTCTGATTCTGTAAAGTCTCTTACAGTTTCTTTTTCCTTTAAAACCACAGGAGCATCATAACCAGAGAAAAAGATGAGTAGGAAGTGTCCTAGATGGTCAGGTGACCATTAATTCTTACTCATTTAGTAGCTTCAAAAGTAAATTCCACTATGACTGAACAGCATGACAGTAGGATTTACTTACACACAGCAAAAGTTTTGGATCTGCGTGGATCAGTTTCACCAAGGACAACAGCAAGAACTTGTAGCTTCTGGTTTCCAAATCAGTAGGTTTTTCTTTAAATTTAAGGCTTGTCATTTTCTCCTTAAATGTAAGGCTCTGATAGAAGGAAAAAGAAATCACAGTCTTCATCAGGAAAGTAGTCAAACCTAACACTTACAATTAAACATATTATGAAATGTATTGCCTTTATCATCTGTAATTCAAGAAGAAGTTTAAAAGTACACAAAACTCAAGTATAGTCACATAGCCTTCTAGTTCAAAATCCCCTCCCACAGGCAATCACTACTGTATCTTTAAAGTTCCCTTAACAATTGTTTCAGTAAGCTGCACGAAGACATAAGAAAATTTTTTGCAAAAGAGATAAACTGTGGCGAAAGAAAAGTGGAAAAAGTACCAAAAGGAATTACTGGTTATGTCTCTGGTCTGAGACAGAAATAAAAATAAATGTTTCCAACTTGTTCTGAGTACATGAGAGGGAATGCTTTCTAAAGGCAAAGTAATGTCTTTATTTTCTGCTACAGCCCCAGGCCAGATGCTTGCATGTTCACCTCAACAGCCTCTGGAAAATGAACCTTTCAATTCTAAAAGGCACACAGGGCATCACTTAAATATAAAAATAATCTGCCTTCAGCTGAAAAACCAGTGAACTACTTGTAAGTTTTGAACAAAAGGAGAAAGCCTTTACCATTCAAGGTAAATGATGAGCTATGACATGGTATGATTAACTTCTACAAGAAATTAGGTCTTCATGTTATTTCAATAATTGGTTATTGCGCAAATATATGGAATAAAAGATACCACATAAAGCATCTGATCAAGAAATTGATAGCCCAGTGGTAGAGGCAGCTAACTCTGCTCTAAGCCTTGGTTTGCCACAGCTCAGGGATTTCTAGGAGAGGCACGTGACAAAAGGAAACGTGTTTCTGTGAAAGCATTAATGTCTCCACAATCCAAAGTGAAGGGTGTCAGTGAGAAAGCCAGGCCAGGCTCTGTGCAGTGCACAAGGGACCAACAGCAGCAGGACACTGACAGACAGCACGGCACAAGGACAGACGTGGAGGAGCTCAGCATCAGTGAGCTCAGGCTGGAAATGAGGAACCAGCTCTAAAGCAGAGCAGGGGCACGGGGCGAGAGCATCGTGCTGGGCACAGAACCAACGGTGCCCTCGTGGGGCAGGAGCTCGGCTGGCGCTGCCCGGGGCTGGCGGGCTCTGCGGTAACTATGCACAGAAAAGTCAGCGCAAGGAAGGGCTTTTCTGCGGTAGTTACGGGTCATACTTACAGCAGCAGAGGCCCAGGGCCATGCAAAGCAGGGGCTGGCGGGCGTCTGAGCACGTGGGCAACAGCAGCCAGGCAGAGGGAAAGTGAGAAGCAGAAGACAAAGCACCACCAGTCAGAGCAGGGGTATTGTCAGGGCAACTATTCTCCAACAGATGAATACACACAGGTGAAAAGCAAGTTAAACATGGAGTAGCTTTCAACCAAAAGCATTGTGCTCATTTGCTCTCCTTTGTGAAGCCCAACAGGAATATTTTTATGTCTCATTTTAGGCTCTCTAAACCAACCTACCAAGACCACTAGCCACAGCAGAAGTCCTCAAGGAATGTTCAGAGGAGAATGCAGCAACACAGCTGTGTGTGGACTTACTGGAAGAATTTGGACGAACTACAAATCTGAATTTACTCAAGACTTTCTCCAAGACAGCCAAGAATATTAACTTTATTTCATAATGGCTGAAAAATCTTTTACTTTGTTGCTGTCACAAAGACCAAACAGTCAACTTGCTCAACATAAAGCAAGACAAATGAAGATGCCAATCATGGTAAAAGTATCACAGTTTTCAGTGATTGCCTTCACATACAGAATGCTTTGGTTTTTCCACATTAAGCAAGGATGGACATGTTAGCTGGCTATTCACAGAGCCAGAAAGCTTAAAATGGACAGTTAGCCACAGAGGACAGTTAGAGGACAAATACTTGTATGTAGCCAGTTTAAAAGCACCAGGAAAACAGAGAGACATTGAACTAGGAACAGCCAATCCCCCATCACCGCAGGGCTACAGAGCACGTGTGGCTCCCTGCTGCTCTGTTCTTCCCCCCTCTGGTGTCCAGCGCAAAGCGCTGAAGAGGAGGGCAGGGCTGGGTGTCCCACGCAGGGCTGGGTGCCCCAGGCAGGGCTGGGT